TGGTGTCCGAGGGGCGCGCGGAAGGGTCTGCGGAGGCTCGAAGGTCTGGCTGCGGGCGGCGCCGGGGGACAGAGCCGTGTCATTTGAGTCTTTTGTCAGGGATCAGATCGGTATCGGGACCTCCTGCTGCCTTTGCATTTCCTGCAACTGACACCAGCGGCCAGTTGCATTTCCTGCTCCGGAGCCGGGTCACTTTCTCCTCTTCGAGGGGTTCAGGCCAGGCCTCCGGCTCCGGTCGGAAGCCTGACCCGCAGTCCCATTTAGATCTTGCGATGGACTGTTAGGGGGTGGGTGGGACGCAGAGAGCAGCCGGGGTCCTGGGAACACCCTGCTGCCCTGCAGACACACCCCTCCTCCCCAGCTCCCCTGCCCTTGGCTTCAACCTGGGGTTTGTGATGACGTCCCTTTCCCCTGCCTGGACACCGAGTGCACCACATACCCCACCCCTCACCGCAGCTAAAAAGTCCTTCCAAGCCCCTGGCTGCTTCTTGTCCTCTCCCTCCACAAAGTCAAGGAATTAGGTCTCAGCCTGGAGTGGTGCTGAGATGGAGGGCAGACCTTGGGGGGACTTGCCCGCTGTCACCTGGGTGGCCTGCCTCCCCAACCCCCCTCCCTGGCCACCCAAGGCCTCCAGAGGCACTCGGGACCCTGGAGCAGCCCTGGGCCTGGGGTGAAGCAAGCAACGCCAGTGAGTGGGGGCAAGGGCCGCTGCTCGGAGAACCGAAGCAGAAGGGGCAGCCCCAGGTCCTGGGGAGGCCTGGAACTCGGGCTTTTCCAGGTGGGGGGCACGACTGGAGGGAGTTCATGCCAGGGGCCAGACATTTCTGGCCTTTGATCTGGGCCACCCATGCCCACAGCTCGAACCCGCTGGCCCTGCGCATCCCGAGAGCTCCCTACGCACTGGGCTGCTGCGGGCGCGGGAGCTCGGGGAACTGGCCCCCGGGCACCAAGGGTCGGGAGAGCCGCCTGGGCTTGTCACGGCTTCTGCCGCGTTCCTAGCCCGACTGGAGGGGGTGGGGTCGGGGGAGAGATGAAAGAGAGGAGGGAAGGAAAGAAAAGGGAGAGACAGTGCAGGAGAGAGAGAGGGAGAGGCTGGCTGAGAGACCAAGAAAAACGGAGACAGAGAAAAGAGGGAGGGGAGGCAAGCAGAGGGAGCCCAAGGAGAAAGAAGGGGGAAAGGGGAAGGGGAGAGGCTGAGAAGGGGAAGGATGGGCAAAAGGAAGAGCCCTGAGCTGCCCAGGGGCAGCAGATGGGGTGTAGCCTGCGGAGATGCCCGTGTGGTGGGCTGACTTCGGTTCCTTATTTCTCATTCACCTGAAAGGAGGTCACAGTGGGTTTGCCACTGTCCCTAACTTCGGAGCCCCAGCGCCCCTGCTCCAGGGTTAGGGAGCTCTCACCCCCCTCCTGGCCTGCCAGGTCCCACCAGACTTCTGTCCCCCCCAGCAGGGGCTCTCAGCTGGTTTTCTGATCAGGTGTCCGTTGGAGTTCAAATCCACCTGACCGTGTGGGGTGCCCCAGAGCCTCGTGTCTCTTTCTGAGAGCCAAGGGGGACCCCTGCCCTGGCCACACTACAAACTCAGTGTGGCTGGGAGGTGGGAGCTGGACTAGGTGACCTTTTGGGGTCATCTCGGGACCCCAAGATTCCAGAGGTGCCAGCCCTGGTTAGTGGGGACAGAAGATTTCTGAGGCTGCATGTGGGGTGGCGATGGGCAGAGCCGTGCCCCGCCAGTAGCCCTGGGCCATGGAGGTGAGACTGGTCGTCCCCTGAAGGGGCACATGTATGATGCCTCCTCCAGGCCGCTGGGAGCACGGGGAGACCCAGGTCATGAACACCGGGGAGGGGATGGAGAGGAGGCCAGCCAACAAGTGGGTGGGAGCCGGTAGCCCAGACCTGTGCTGGCCGCACCGCCGAGGGAGTGGAGGGCTGGGAGGCGGTGTGGGAACTTGTGTGCGGCCCGCATGGCCCTGGAGAGCGGAGGCATGTGTGGGGATTTCCCCCCCACTTGAAAGCTCCCCAGAGGAGGGGATTCCTGATCCCTTTCTCCTCCCCTGCCAGGTGTCCTTCCTTCAACACAGGCTTAATTTCCTTCCTCCCGCCTGCCCAGCGCTGCCGGTTGGAACACAGGAACGGTCCCTGCCGGGAGGGGGAGGGCGCCCCCGCGCCACGTGTCACAGACGCAAGCACCTTCTCTCTCATAGGCACCCCGGATCTCAGGGTGGGTTGCAATCGATGGGGAAAGGGTTAAATTTACATCCAGGCCGGCTAGAGTGGGGAGGTGGAGGCCTCCCTGCGGTGGACCCTGAATGGGGGGCGGGGGGCTCTTGAAAAAGGGCAAAGGAGGCCGCGCCGGCCAGGGGTCTGGGGGCTAGGGGTCGGCAGGGGGAAGCACTTTGTGTTGTGTGTGTGAATCTCCGGGAC